TAGATATTATATAATTTGCATACAAAAATTGTGGGAAAAAACGTGTTTTCAAATCTGACTTTGCACCAATTCTGTAGAATGGCCCATATTGTTATGTATATTTTGTTAGTCTCTTGTGATTTGTATTTTGTTTTTGCAATAAAAAAAATAAAAAAGGTTACTTTTTTCCCTAGACATCCTGTAATGTAACTAATACATGATGCAATTACTTATATTTTATATTTAAATTATATTTTATTATGTAGCCTACCATATGCACAACAAGAAACGGGGTTTTAGCAAAACAAATAACAAAAGCCTACATAAAAAATGTTCGATACTATACACAACCCTTTTGGTATATATAAAAAAGTAGAAGAAAACAGAAAAGATAAAAGCTGCAACGTAATGTTTTAAAAGCATTAAAATGTAGCATTTAAAAAAATAATAATATTCTTATAATTACACTGGAATATTCTACCATGTACGAATATTCTTCCAATACCATGACTTTTGAATATGGAGATTACATAACCATACAGCCATCATTCATAACGACGTATTACCATTTTAGATAATTAGGTCTACTATGCAGCAGTTGTTGAAAAAGGGTTTCGTGGACGTTCTTCTGCAAATTTGTTCCTGTATCAGAAACACACAGACACAAATAAGGCCAAATTACAGATCAATGTCATTTTCTGGAAGACTTCAGGAAAAAGTGATTCAAATAGGCAGGCAGATATGGAGAAAGCAAAATGCAGACTTCTGCGAAAGTTGTTTATTGTAGATAGAAGTAGCTACATAAAATCTATAAAGAAAGTGCATAGTAGTATTACACTAAGCTTCATGGATCAGGACAGGTTTTTGACCTTTAAACTCTTTAAAAGATCCATTTTGACCTTTGTTTTGAAACATTATTTTAACTGATTCATAAAAAGCATATATATAAACTAACTTTACAAAGCATATAAAGTACTAAAATAGTGATAAAAAACATTAAGACTGGATGAGAAGTTGAATTATACTGCATTTGTATGCACAAGACAGCACGCTGTAACATTGATAACTTTTCCTTAATCTGAAATGATCAGCATGCAAACAGCAATTGTTGACTCATTTGGGCAGAGTAAAAAGTTGCTGCCTTAAACAACTTGGATTTTTAAGTCATTTCAACTTAAATTACATTAAACTGACTAAAAAATTAGTGGAATCTTGAACTTATAAACAAAAGTTGAAAATTACTCAACTTATTTTAAAGCAATGTAAAACACATCTTGTCATAACTTTTTGATCATAGAAATTTTTACAGTAACTAGACAACCGGCGCAAACAACAGTTTGTACTGTGCGTTTACACCACAGTTGCTTAATTGAATTCAAACTGATCATTTTTAGTGACTCAGCACTCTAAAGTATGCATGACTGGCACAGTTGTGTAATAAATTCCCATGCTGTTTTCTCATATCTTATCAGCCGTCAGCTAGACCTCCCTGCTCATTCAGATAACGGCCCATACGTTTGTTAGCAAGACCACAATGTCAGCAGAAAAGTAGAGTTCTTTCATACTGATTTCATTTGGCTTCGTATATAAACGACTACATGGGTTTTGACAGTCTTTTTATTGATAATACTGATAACATCTTAATACATTTCTTATAGCACACAGAGAGAAAAAGAGGGAGAGCACATTGGAAGAACAGGTATGAATATTAATGAGAAGAATCAGGAGAAACAAAGATTTAATAATCTAACTTTTTCATTACTGATTAAAATCCACATTGCAGGATTTGTGGTTACATACATACAAAAAAAAAAAATCTGCAAAGTTGAGTACGGGTCATCTTTAGAGAAATGTGAAGCCATCAGGTTAAAGATTACAAAAGACATTGGGAGAAAATGTGAATACTACAAATTGATCGCTATTGGCTTGATGTTGTAAGAGCAGCAATGCGTCACCACTAGAGAAACACAACACTGGTTCACTCTTTCACATATGCGTAACACTCAAACACACTCAGACACACACACACAAGCTTCTCATTAGAGGCCTGATTAGATTACATCACTAAACCGTTTCAGGCCACTGATTGGAGAAGTATCCAGTTGATAACAGAGATTAAACTCTTTTAGTGGTTATTCAGTGTATAAACTGCAAAAAAATAATGTCTTCCTCAGTATTTTTGTCTTGTTTTCCAGTACAAAGATCTAAACATTCTTTAATCAAGATGCATTTACCTGAGAAGCAAAATGACGAGATGTTAGGCCTTGTTTTCTGAAAGATTTTCAGATGTCAGTCTTTGCTTAAAACAAGAACGGATATCTGCCAATGAGGTCTCATCTTCCATTTGAATTAAATTGTTTTTCAGACGTCATTGGCAGATATTTCTTCTTGTTTTAAGTGTAATTGTTACTTAACTTTGTTAAACTTTTCATAATTTTTTTTAATGAATTTCGCTTCTCAAGCAAATGTATCTTGATTTAAGAATGTTTAGATATTTGTACTGCAAAACAAGACAAACATACTAAAGACGACTTTTTTTTTTTTTTTGCAATGATTTAGGTGTTAAGTTTATTAATCCAAGAAAATTGTGTTTCTGTTTAAGAATAAAAGTGAGTGAATTATTGGATATCTTGTAACATTATCCATTTTTTTCTAACAAGAACAGTGTGGTAAAGAGCGCCCACTAATGGTTTAGGCAGCATTAGAGCAAAGCACAATGAGGGTTGCTGATTAAATGCAAATCAGATGCTTACATTGACAGACATAATTCAAGGTCCCTTTTGTAGACTGGCAGCCAAAGCATGATCCATTCCGTAATAAAAACACATGCATAATGCGACCAAGCGTGACAGCGGCAAACGCTGCGATTGACCCACGCTAATAAATTCATTATTTCACATTTTCACATTTGGGCTCAGCCAACACTGCTCAAACAACAACAAACTCTTTTACAAAAGCATGCCGTACAATCAGAATAATTATGTTTTACCATGATAGTTATTATCAGTAAGTCATCATTTTTAGACAAAATAGTTATATGCACTTACAAAGCTCAGAAAATAGATAGAATCACCAGCATTCAGTATAAAATAAACAATGAAAAAGAAAAAAAAAATCAACAAAATGTATTATTGTGAAGTTGAAGTTCATGCAAATAGTTTCCATCTACAATATAAGTTAACACTATGCAGCGGTTTTACAAGATGCCTATTTATTGAGCTGTTGTATTTTTCAAATATCTTCAATAAACACATAACACCAGTTTGTCGACATGCAAATCGCCGTTTGCGGTGGATGTCGCATTTTTCACCATTTCCAACTCTGGGTTCATTAGAGCCAACTACAAAAGTTAAAGTCAAATTTCAGAATAAAATTAAAAGCAACAGAAAACACAAACTATAGCCTCAACAAAGGTCATGTGACTTCAGTTAGCGGCCCACAATCAGTAGGAGATCAATCTTTTGACAGGATGTCAAAAACAGTACCAGTTGTCAGGAAGCCCCCTAATCAAACCGTATGCGTGAAACTGAATATGAGACCGTTTTCCAATTCTGCTAGATAGAAAGACAACACTAACAGAAACATCCCTTCAAATCTGCCGTAAAGAGTTGACGGTGCGTTATGGCTTTCAACACTTTAATATAGTGACTATATGCTTTCACATTCAAGATATCAGTGCCATTGTATTGTAAAACCACACACTCACACTCTTAAAAAGGATACAAAAAAAAAACAATACTGCCTTAATAACTCCACATAAATTAGATATAAAAAGTTCCTGTGTGTACAGAACAAAAAGAAAAGCGAAGAACTATAGCTGTAGGTGCCTGAGTCGAGGTGAAACGCAAAGCTCCTGTGACGAAGGTTGAAACGTGTTCAAATTCGTCTCGTAGGTTGCAGATCACCATGGTAACCAGAATGGCTATTTAAATCTCGAACACACGTAGTACATTTCCTGCTGCTTTACAATAAAGGCCCTTAAAACAACATGCTGTACGCTCTCAAAACGAGTCTCATCGGTCCTACAAGATCCCCAGAGAAAAAGACAAACTTATTCCAATGTAGCGTTCAGAGATCAAACTATAACCCGTACCGACACTTGCTTTGTCTTTACAGTGAAATGATTGTGTAAACACTGCAAAAAATGACTTGCTTACTCAGTAGTTTTGTCTTGTTTTCCAGTTCAAATATCTAAACATTCCTCAGGTGAAGAAGCAAAATGACTTAATATCTTAAGTCTTGTTTTAAAACAAGAAAAGAATGTATACAAAACATAACTTTTTTAATCAAGATTATATTTCTGACCCCATTGGCAGATATATTTTCTTGTTTTCAGCACAAGCAAGACTTAAAGGGGTCATGACATGAGAAATCAAATTCTTTTGTCATATAAGAGGTATTTGTACCATTAAAACATCCTACAAGTTTTATTGCTTAAAATGTCCTCCTCAATATAAACAAAGCATTTGTTTAATCAAGCTCCAAAAACTGCTCGTTCTGATATTGTAGGAACTGTGACGCATTTGCATATGACTACCGCCATAGCAAGACATCGGCCAATAGTTACACCATCACACTATAGGCCCCGCCCACTGGCATCAGTCGCTTTATGGCTGATATTTGCCTACATCGGATATGAGCGTCACGTCAAAAGCAAATAGAAGCCATTATAATCAGTGACGCTGTCTACACTGTTCAGTTTCTGACGTACCCCACGCACTTGAGTCTGTCGACAACAGGACAGCAAATGGTTTACTTTAATGCCGTCCCAGATCGCGTGCGTCGGAGGATTATATGTTTGTTTTCGGAGAACAAACTTTTTCAAACAAAGAAACTTTTGTTGACAGAGGAAACAGCCGACTATACTGAATCTGACAGAAGCTGCATAGCAAACTGTAAGTGAACGATTTCATAGTGCTTTGATAGTTTTATGTGGATAATGTTTTTAAAACACTTACGTGCAAAAGCGATGATACGGTTTCCTATGCAATGAGGTTAGCCAATCATAACAGTGGCCTTAAAGGATCCGCCCTTTAAAAACGGGTCATTTCAGATTCAGACTTATCTTAAAGTTGTTCCAAACCTGTATGAACTGCTTTTTGGTTACCCATATTCTACAAAATATGTTCTTTTGTGTTCAACATAAATTCATTCAGGTTTTAAACAACTTGAGGGTGAGTAAATGATGACAGAGTTTTCATTTCGGGTGAACTATCCCTTTAACAATATAAGCGAACCTCAGAGAGAATATTAAACTAAAAAAATCCATATCATGACCCCTTTAATATCTTAGGACATTTTGCATCTCAAGTAAATGTATCTTGATTTAAGAATGTTTAGGTATTTGTACTGGAAAACAGAAAAAGATTCACATTCTTACAACCTCACAGACAACTTTAACAAAACGTATTAAATAGCTTCTCAAATAAGACCAGATCAGCACTGACTGCCAATAAGGAGGACACATCAGCTGCTGGCCAGTAAAAGAGATTAGAGACAAACAGCTCAGCTCAACCTGCAGATATACGAGGCAAACCTCAATGATGTGATAATGTCAGCTGCCTCCAAGAGATTTGATTGTAAAAACCATGAAGCACCCTGATAACACAGACACTGATCACGGTCACGGGAAATCTGGTCGCCGCCACATATGAGTTTTGAATCTTAAAATCTTGTGTGTGCTGCCGCTGTTTTATTTTAATTTAAACAGCGAGCTGTGAACGTGAACATGTACAGCGCTGCCGAAGTACACTTCAGATTACTCGAACACCAAAAAACCCAAAACAATCGCTAATACTTAAAATCCATGCTTAAAAAAGAGATTGAACTCAAAAATGTTTTAAAACAAAACAGTAATTTGACCATCAAATATACAATCTCAAGAACAACAGCAATAGTTAGAATCCTGACGGAAGTAATAATCATTATAATAGTAGCAACAATAACAAGAATACAATGATAATAATAATATTTTATTAAAAATGATCTACTGTATTTGGGAGTACCTGGGCACAGGGGGCATAAGGCCAGTGAAGACGAAAGTGGAGCGCAAAGGACTGTGGACAAGAAGGCAATCGTGCGGGTTATTATAACTCTAGACGGGGACCTGGAGTCTGTGGTGGCTCTCGATGATTAATATATGCAGTGCTGCTCTTGCGTCGGCGGTGAGTCTTGGCATAAAGACGTGCTGGGTGTTGTGGGAGGTGAGGGGTGGTCGGGATGCTGTGTTTCGAGAGCAGCCCAGCAGGCAGAGAGATAACTGTTGGTTTGCATGCAGGGGGAGGACGGCTGTGTCCAGCGTTGGAAAGCTGGAGGTTTCGGAGCGTTTCGACGCTGGACCCCTGCTCTCGTCCTATCAGTCCTCCCTGTCCTTCACCTCCGCTTCTAATGTATTCGCTGCAGGGCTGGTCTGAAATACAGAGAGACAGAAAGCTACCGAGTTCAATTCAACTTGGAATACAGTGTTTTTTAAAGAATGCTCTATACAGTATGTATACAAAATGCACATAAATTAAAAACCTTCAATTCATCTTATAGTTAATTCGCCTTTGGCTAAGCCACACCCTAGAATGTAGATTGACCAATCACAGCGCAGCCAAGAACGAGCTCCCATAGAGGTCCGACACTTTTTCACAGCGCTCCATTGCCTTTAACACAGGCGTATCATATTGTTGGTCTCGGCAGGCTATTATTACCGTCGTAGTTTTATCAAAAATATGGTTAAACGTTGTGCCTGGGGCATTTGTAACACAGATGCGCGTTTCCCAGAGAGGTTGGAGGGGAGTGTCCGTTTTTTTCCCTTCCCAAAACCGAAGTCAAATCCTGACAAGTGTCGTCTTTGGATTAAACTGTGTGGACGTCCTCACAGTCAGCTAAACCCCTCAAGGATCAACAAGCACACTTTTTGCTAACCAAAACATCACCTTGTCAGCTAACGTTAACGCTACCTAGCATGATTGGTTGTTGATACGCTAGCACACACTGCTAATAAATACAACGTTATACTCGCGTAACGTTAGTCCATTTGCTTTGTAATAACGATTATAGAAGTGAATAGAGACCTAACGTTACCCAGCTTTGCATGAAGTGTTGCTCCTTGATATTGTTAGTCCCAGCCTCAGTCTCGATTAGTAGGATATGCGGTGGTTCATTTTTTGACTGTGACCGGTATGCTTTTGCCATAGACAGTATAAGAAGGCTTTTGCCTCTATTTGGATGCCTTGTTGTTCCTTGCGTTTCACCTGTATGTCGTGAATATAGCCTTTGAGCATATATTGCAGCCCCTTTTGCCTACTTCTATCGGACACTTTATTTGCTGCTTTATAAAAGTTTGATCAAATTTCAGCAGGAAGAGCTGTCACAGCATAAGCCATGTTGATACCAAACCAGAGCCCAGATGAAGTTTGTCGGACGTAGCAACAGTAACTAAGGGGGGCGGGGCTTAGCCAAAGGCGAATTATTATCATATATTCATAAGGTTAGATCCTTCTCATATATTCATTAATTGATTACATTAATAAACAAATTATATTATAATTAAATTAAAATAAATTAAATTACATTTATTTATAATACCGTTCAAAAGTATGAGGTTGTAGTGATATTTATTGTTGTTTATTGATTATTGACTCTTTTGCTCACCAAGGCAGCATTAACTTGATCAACAATACAGTAAAACAGTATTATTGTGAAATATCATTACAATTTAAAACTGTTTTTTATTTGAATGTATTGTGTTTGAATAGAAAAAGTTCAAAAGAACAGCATTTATTTGAAAGAGAATCTTCGGTAACAATATAAATGTCTTTACTCTCACTTTTGATCAATTTAAAGGGGACCTTTAATACAAAATACCCTTTTATATTGTTTTTAAACATATTTATGTGTCCGCAGTGTGTACACAAACACCCTATTGTGGTAAAAATACATCCACTCTGTTTGTTATTGTGAAAATAGCATATTTTCTTAGCGATAGATTATATTTACACAATGTAAAAATAGCAGTATTTTCTTTGCAATAAATGTAAAGACTTAGATAGCATTTGCACCTCAGTATTTTAGTACATTATAAAACAGTATGCAATAATAACATATTGAGTGTAAATTATTGTATTTATTAAATAAATGCCGCCTTATTGGGACTATAAAGCCCTCCCTACACCTACTCCTAACCCTACCCGAAAAACACTTTATTATCAAATAACCGTTAGGCACTTTTATTCCACTTTTCACATATTTTCTTCATATTTATTGAAAATAAAAGCTTTTCCAATCTGATATACGATGGAAAAAGCAAGAACGAGTTCGGCAAAAGGCAGATTTGACCTTTGTGTGTTTTTTACATAACCTTGTGTGTTTTTGACCGTTTAAGTGTAATAAGAAAATAAGAGAACTTAGTTTAATACTCACGCAACGCCCGTCTGACAGACAGCTTTCTGTGCAGAAAATCATACATCAGAAGTTTAAACTGAGATGGCTTTAAAACGCATTCGAGTATCCGAAGCAAGAGCTGTAAAGACACCCTTTTCTGGATAGGGGGTGGAGAACAGCAGCTCATTTGCATTTAAAGATACATGCAGGAAAACAGCATGTTTTTCCTTCCATTCAAAAAAGGGGCATTTACAACATGGTATAATAAATGATCTATGGGGTATTTTGAGCTGAAACTTCACAGACACATTCTGGGGACACCCGAGACTTCTATTACATCTTGTAAAAAGCAGCATAATAGGTCCCCTTAAATGCATCCTTGTTGAATAAAAATCTAATTTCTTTAATTAATCTTAATGAATATAGTGTACATTTTTTTATATATCTTTTTTTAATTTATTATTTTCATTTGCAACTTCAATATAGATTTAATGATTTTTTTTTTTACACTTTCTGGAATAAGTCCAGAAACCACAGCAAAGGACTCAACCTCTATTGTGAACTAGATTCAGGAAATGCAGAAATGCGAAGCGTCACCTTCACTGGAGAGGAGCAGCGGGCGCACCGGAGCAGTGGAAATGAACATTCTGCCATTTGGAGTCCCGACGGTGCCAGACGCGAGTCTCCTCCGATTGGCTGCTGCGCGGTCGGCCCTGGCCATCCACAAACTGGGTGAGGCGGATGTAGGCGATGCAGGCGGCGTCTTCTCCGATCAGGTGCACATGAGGGTTTAGGATGGTGGTGTGGATGGGCTTACTGTTCTTGGAAAGCACTGTAGAGAAACATACATGCATGGAGAAAGATCACGTGCATGGTGCTACTCACATTTCCTGTGTGTGAATTACACATAACTGATTTCATTTATGTTAGTCCTTCTCACACTTACAGTTCTCAAAGTAGAATCTATGGAAGTCCATCCCCTCAACTAGGTTCCCCAAAGCCTCGGGTTCAAAGGAGGTCAGTCCAGGGTCACAGATTTTCCTGTGACAATGAATGATCCCATTGTGTATTATTATTATTATTATTCATGTAGCTGCTATAAACATGCGGACAGTTTAACTAACTTGCTCGGTGAGGCTCTCTACTTAAACATTTGCTCCACTATGAGAGTACAACTGACTGTAGAAGAAGACCTGCTAATAATGCCTGCTATAGTATCCCTTGTGGCAACACTGAGAATGCAACACAACATTTATAAAAATGCAAGACATCTGGCTTGAGTAGCTAGCTATAGAAGCATTTGCATCTTTGTATTTGTACAGAGTATGTTTTGGGCCATGTGGGTTGTGTTTGCGAGAAAGCATGAGGTAACGTACGCATAGGCCTCAAAGTCCCCATTATTGATGGCTTCTATCAGCTGCTCCGTGATCTTGATGATTTCCTGCTTGCGTGCTGTAAGAGAAAACAGACACAATCAAGCTAATTAATCCCACCTTGGTCTCGCCATTTTTTTCACTCAAAATTATGATTTATGAAAAAAAGAATAAACATTTTACTTCAGGTATAGGAATATTTTTCTCTTTACATTAAAAACATACAGTATGTAAATTGAAAACCCTTTACAATTAAAGGCTTCTATCTATTAGTCCATGTCTATTAGCGTTGAGATCTATATGTTAATGTACCCCTGATTAAATATATTTTAAACAGATATATGCTTGAAACTGAGTAGCTCTTTCTGGAAAATATAATAGTCTTTATTAATCTTGGTTTTGGTGTCAGTAGGTTTTTGAGAGAAGTCTCTTATGCTCACCAAGGCTGCATTAATGTGATCAAAAGAGTCAAAAATACATTTAATATGTAATTTATTCCTATAATGGCTAATGGTCTTCAGTGTCCCATGATCCTTCAGAAATCCTTCTAATATGCTAATTTGCAGCTCAAAAAACATTTCTGATTATTATCAATGTTAAAAAACATAATGTGCTGCTTAATATTTTTGTGGAAACCATGATACTATTCCTTTTAAGGTTTGATTTAAAATGGAAATCTTTTGTAATATTATAAACACTGTCACTTTTGATCAATTTCATGTGTCCTTGTGGAGTACAAATATGAATTTCCTACTGACCCCAAACTTTTGAACGGTCCTGCCCAACTTTCTGTTTCAATAGGAAATACCTTTATGAATTTTTAGGCACAGGAAAAAAAAATTGTGCATTCATGGATTCTTTTAAACTATAGACTAACAGAGCCAAAGCTAACTGTTCCTCTCTGTTGTACATGACAGGAACAGAAAAATGTCACGCTTAAGCAAAAGTGAATGCTCTAAAACACACACACACACACACACACACACACACACACACACACACACACACACACACACACACACACACACACACACACACACACACACACACACACACACACAGTTCAGATCCTTCTGAGAGGATGAGAAATGTTTAGTACTCCAGCTCTGCTGTGGACTTACCCAGTTTCTCAGTCTAGTCTTCAGTCTAGACCTTCATCCATTCTTCCTCAATTCTATGACTAAGCCCCTCCCTCCTGATAAAGTTTGTACTTTAACCTAACTACTGACACTTCATCTAATTTATCCGCATGGAGCTAGTTGTGCTATTCCTGGACCCTTAGATAAGGCTTACTCCATGTTTCCTCTCCCTCTCCCTCCCTTCAGGGAGCTTAGTGGCCTCGACACGTCCTTCAGTTTCTCCTTGTCAATCTGACACTACAGGCCTGATCTAAAGTCTCTGACTGGGGTTTCAGCTTTGATAAAAGTCCCAATTCCTTAAAGAGAAAACTGTATATATGGAAGTACATCAGATCTGAAGCAGTTCTGTCACACTTTCACAAACTAGACTCCCTTCAGATGTTTAAATCCTGCTCTTTTATCAGGGAAAACTGCCTCCCGCTACTTCCGAATGTCAGATGTTGGTCACAGGGTTGATGGGAAATCTGACATGGTGGTGTCAGCTACAGACTGTTAAGGCCCTGATACACTCACAGCATCTTCACTTAGGGGTAAAAAGAAGTTTGTGCCTTCCTCTCAATATCAAAATAAAAACACAACAAAGGTGACAGCGATGAGAAAACTACAGTTAAGAAAGCATCTGATCATTGCAACAGGGATTTTTTTGCACCAGCTCTACAATTCATAGTTTTCAGTCTGTGATCTTGTGATCCATATACGGCGCAGGACGTTCTAAAACGATTAACGTGAAAAACACATAAAGTGCCTTAATTTACTAAAACAGTGGTATTAAAAGTTCAGATTCAGTATACACCTTACTGATGCATTCTATATAGAGGTGAGCAGATGAGACCAGAATATGAACACCGCTAAATGGTTAAGCATTTTCTTTATAATAGGTTTTGATGGAAAAACACGTAATGCTTAACTGCACGTAGAGTTTATATTCAGGGTTCATCGGCTTGCCTGTACATAGTATGCATCATCAATAAGGTGTATACTGAATTTGGTATTTTAATATCACTGTCTTACTTGGTACAAACTTGGTAAAAAGGACAGGCGGGTAGTGGAGGAAAGTCTTGTTTTGCCCTCCATGTGAGCGCTCCTTTAAAGGTGTGATGTCGCGTGAAAACTACGAATTTAACACTCCAGTCAAGTCATGCCACATTGATTTAAATAGCACTTACTTTATATGATAGAATGCTTAAAGTCAGCATGAAATATAAGTTGCGATTGAATTTTTTTTTCTTTTCTTTTTTTTTATATGATCTCATGTGAGTGACAGGTTGTCCCGCCCTCATGCCGAAAAACACATCATCAGAGAAGAGAAGTCATTGCAAGTGCAAATTAAAGATAACGAGAATAAAATAAAATAAAAACATGATGTGCATGGATAAATCATTTGCAATACTTCAATATTCCATTAAATTTTTTTTTTAAGTGGTGACCTTAAAAGCAAGCAGCTTTACAGTATTAAACATGAAAAACATTATTTCTCTTTCAATTAGAATTACAGCTTCAATTTCTACTATTAGGCGGCTCTCCAGTGAGTTCATGTTTTAAATCACATTAGGCCTCGACGAACTGAACAGAAGAAATGAACCAGAGGAGATTGAAATGAATCACAGCAAAGAAGGCGGAGCCCTATGATGTAATCATCACATGATGTAATCACCACAGGCCAAAGGTGTTCATCAGCCGCCACCGCCAACTTTCCCATGAAGTTGGTTTTGGCCAAGCTCCTGAAACAAACTTTGTTTTGGCCTGAAATTTAGCTTTGAAATGACATCACACCAGTTTGTCCTTCGATTTCACTTGAAGTATATCAAGTGCAATGTGGACTAGACTTTATGCTAAAAACACACTCACTCCACTATATACTCACTGTGCACAGACACAGAGGGGGGCGGGGTCGGGGGGGTGGAGGGCTGGGGAGGGGGGGCAGAGGTTTGGGAGGAGGTCGACTCGGCCTGAGCTTGCGGGACAGGTGCACGGCCCACACTGCTCACCAGATCTGTGAACCGGGCTGAGTGGGTCGGGAAAGGGAAGAAAGCATTAACCCATCGTGAAAGACAGAGAGATGGAGAACATGTCAAAAGATGAAAAGGAAATGAATGACAGCAGCATCAGACAAATAACAAGATGCATGGGGCCGTTGCATCTGACTGAAGGGGGTATGCGTCAATAACAAGGGTAAACGGTCAACGCTTGGGCCGAATGACAGTATGAACAGGGTCCAACATTAAAAGTTCACGTTTTTCTTGTTAATTACCTAAGGGAATACATTAAACATCACATTATAATAAGTTAGATCAGTAGCCTAGAAAAAGCTTTAATAGGCATGGAGCAGGTCGGCTCACGGGGCCTGACATATTAAGAACATACTGTATGAATAGCTGAATACTACTCACTTCATCCCAATATCCCAACTTTATCCTACAACTCCCCTGTTACTGGAAACTCAAAAGGTATAAAGCATAATACACTGTCCAAATCGCATAATAAGAACCATAGCGGACAGCTAAAAAAAATCCCTTTATTATTAAATTACATCATTTAAAAGTCTAATTAATTTAATATTAAATTAACAATTAAATACATCATAGATTATCAATATTATTATTAAATCATTCAAATGAATAATTCATTATTACAAAATAAAAAACATTATTAAATGATTAATAAATTAAGCTTTTAATTTAGTATTAAATTAAAGTATTAAATTAAAAGCTTAATTTATTAATTAATTTAATTTAAAATGGTTTTAATGTACTTAATTTAATATTAAATTAAAGTATTAAATTAAGTACATTAAAACCATTTTAAATTAAGGTACTTTATTCAATATTTAAATATTTAAATGAAAATGATTCTTTTATATCAAATACTAAAACAGATCAATATTAATATTAATTTAAAATCATTAAAATGAACAATTATTACAAACAAATTACTTGACAAAAAACGAATTGTGACACATTTTTAAATTAAAATACTACTTTAATTCTTAAATTATTACATTCATCATTATTGTTAATAATAATTATTAAAATGAATAATGTTAATTTTGATTATTAATATTATAATTACAAAATTAACAATTACAAAATCTAATTCAACTAAATAATGCAACAGCCAAAAAGTTGATTGTGGACCCTGTGCATGAGCATGATAGCTGGGGTCTGCAGGGGGCGCTGTACTCACTCTGCAGGACGGGGGTCTGTGGAGGGGACTGGGTGGAGAGAGCAGCTGCTTCAGTATCAGGCCCGGTCGAGGGTCCTGAGCCCCTGCGGGCGCAGCCCAGGATGTCGGTCAGCTTGGTGGCTGTTCACACATCGGGGGGTGATAATGATGACCGATGGCAGGTGGGAACAAGATGATACTAATGATACAGATTCATCCAAACTCATGCATCTTAAAGGCACAATATGTAAGATTTTTGGATTAAAATATCCAAAAACCACTAGAATGTTGTTGACTTATGTACTTTACAGTATCCCAAATGTTTTCAACAATGTTTAAATCCAGAGAAATCAGCCATTTTAACCAGTGTAATGGCCCGTGTCATTGCGTCGCCTGTTAATGATGTCATATCCGTGTTACCGGTTTTGCTTCCGTGAAATACGTGGAAACACCACAGACCCTTTTATACATTACGTGTTTTATTAGACATGTTTGGATGCCTTTATTGACAGAAAACGAATCATTGTTATATAGCTCAACAACACGGTTAGCCCAAAAAGTAAAGCACTATAAACACGAAGTGGCTAACATAGCAAAATCAAAGAGTAATACAGCATTTTCTCCACCATATAATGTTCTAAAATGATGCATGCCATTTAGCAACACAAGTCATCCAGGTTTTATTAATATGATATCATTCTAGCTTACTGCAGTGTGCAACAAGTGTCTCACAGCAGCCACCGAGCGAACGCACAGAGTAACGTTACAACATAACTTTTAACACACAATATTTTTAATATGATTGTTTTGAAGTAAACAGTGCTGCAGTACCCCACAATTTTAATTCGTCAGATAAAGTGACCTGTATGAGTAGTAAATCAGCACTTGTGGCTGTTTCAGTGGAATGAAATAAAATAATGTGAATTTAAGTGATCAAACGTAACTGTTCAGGGAAGGACGAGGAGGCGAACGTTAAATGTAACTTTAACTGCGGCATATAAGCATAATAAAAACAGCCAGGCTAAATGTCCCAGGCTCTTGACGCGCCCTGCTTCACGCCACAGTAACGTTAATAAAACTTTGATACATTAGCTCATGTGTGAACACGAAGTCCCGTCGGACTTTCCATCGGCTGTGGAGGAAAAGACGACACCTCCCATGATTCCACACTCATTCACTGCATCATCAAGCTACACCTATGTTACGGTTTTAAAGTGAAACTTACGTACTGTGCCTTTAAAGGGGTGTGTGTACAGGTAAAGTGAATGAGTGCATGCCATTACATTTGCTGGGGGCAGCGCACGGGAAACAGCAGGGAGATAGGCCCTGTCCCAAATGGCACACTTCATATGCATTTTCGGTCTTGTGGGACCGTTAAGTCCATGAGACCATAGGGTGTCCCATTTGTCATTTTAGGTTTCTGAAGGGTGCTCGCAAACGCCCCCTTTGCAGGCGATATGCACCCTCAATGCGCACTCTTGCCGGACTTATAGGAAGGCCGTGAGTGCTTAGGGTGCCATTTGGGACAGGGCCAAAGTGGGTTGCTTTCATTAAAGGGATTTTTACATTTTTAACAGTCTTTGCTATTTGGATGCCCCGGTGATCAAAACCCCTTCCTGTAGGGCATCAGGAAAGAGAAGTTCAAAGGGTTTTATCTACACTTATTAGGGGTTAAAGGGATAGTTCACCCCAAAAATGAAAAATTCTGTCATCTTTACTCCGCTTCATGTCATTCCAAAAATCATAAAACATCAGTTAATCTTCGAAACAAACTTTTAATGAAAGCTGAGAGATTTCTGTCCCTCCACTGAAAGTCCAGGTAATCAAAAATTAAAAGATCAAATAGGTCATAAAGGCATGTAAAATGAATCCATATGAATCGAGCGGTTTAATCCAATTCTTTTGAAGAGATACGATCGCTTTATACGATGAACAGATTTAATTCGGCTTTTTTTTTGACACCTATACAATGATCGGCATGATGCACAGGAACCAATGGGGTGTTTACCAAATGTATGTGTTTATATGTAAATTAAAGCCTAAAATAATCAGTTCATCATATAAAGTGAGTGTATCTCTTCACAGAATTCGGATTAAACCGCTTGATTCATTTTATGACGCCTTCATGACCCTTTAGGATGTTTTAAATTTGGTTACCTGGACTTTCAATGGAGGGACAGAAAGCTCAGGTTTTATTAAAAATATCTTCATTTGTGTTATAAAGATGAATGAAAGTTTTATGGGTTTGAAATGACATGAGGGTGAGTAAATGATGATCATTTTTGGATGAACTATGTAGCAACTCTTGAACAGTCTTCTACGCCACACATCCCTATTTATTAATAAAGCAGAAAGACCACAGACAGCATTGTGCAAATTACACTAGACCTTAAGCTGTCTGTTATTACCCAAATGGATCATCAACCCATATTTTCACATCTATAAGTCACCTCAAGAGGAGCAAAACTCAACTGGAAGCGGTTTATTTTTCAGGGATTTGCTGAAGTTAGTGAGGAGAGCGCTGAGAAATGCCGTGCAAACCAGCCAGGCCAAACCAAACGAGTGCAGACCAGTCATTCTGAGACTTATGAGACTTACAGAAGATGGCGGGGGCGGAGCCTGGAGGTGATTGGCTGACTTCAGAGGGGGCTTTAATTGAACTGCTATCTAGGCTTTTCCCTATTGAGCGGGAAGGAAAAGGTGGGAAGAGGAAAGATCCGACTGAGAAAGGAGGGTATGCAAAGACGGAACATGGCACATTATTTAACAACATGACTGCAACCTATTATTGAGGCTGAGACTTTTACAGTAAAGGTTGACAAATAGACCCGCTCACTTCTGTCACTTTTGAACACGACATTTCCACACAAAAGTGTGTAAGGTGAACCAACATTGACTCGTGTGAATAAAACACACACATAGCCTTAGCCCACATCTCTCACATTTCTAGTGTTCCTTGAGATAAAAATACCTTCAAGGTGCCCTGGAACGTGTCGCCCAGAAGAGCAGGACGGTAGAGAGCAGAATTACGCCAACACTTCTTATGTCATTTACAAAGTCAGAGGAAGTCATAAGGCCTGTCAGCTGAACCTCAGGGTTATTATGTAACAACAATAGTAGACACGAATTAAATAAATGCTTTGGATTTCTTTGTATATGGACTGTTGACCTGATAGGAAACCAGATGGATCAAAGTTCAAAGATGAGGCATACCTGTGACTGCAGCAAACACACTATATAGCCTACTTTAAAAAAAAAGTATATATATAAATTAAAAATCCTATTTTAAATATATAATTTTGCCTATATAAATTAAAAAAATAATTTAAATAAATTAAATTTTTTTCATATTGCTTTTGTCATTAAAAAAGAAGAAGCAATAATCCATTTGAGGCCATGCTATACAGTGATTTTACCAAGATTAAAGAGGTTTTATACATGTTTATAGTCATGAAGAAGTGTTCACAACTCATTATACTTTCATAACGTGATAATGTGTAACATACACTAATGTTCAAAAGTTTGGTTGGTAAGATTTATGTTTTTGAATGAAGTCTCTTCTGCTCAACAAGGCTGCATTTATTTTAATCAAAAATACAGTTATATTGTGAAATATTATTAGAATTTAAAATGGCTGTTTTCTATTGTAATATGTTTTAAAATCAATCAATCAAATTTTATTTTTATAGCGCCTTACAACAGCCAAAAGGTGCACAAGGCGCTTTCCAGTAAAAGCATCAATAGACACCAGAAAAAAGGGAAAGAACAAAACAAAACACAAATTTTAGCCAGAGTCCGAGATTACATGTTAAAAGCTTGTCTGAACAGATGTGTTTTTAACTGCGATTTAAAAGTACTCAACACGGTGATGCTTCGTATGAGTGTTGGTAAAGCGTTCCACAGTTTAGGAACCTGGACAGCAAATGACCGGCCGAAATGTAATTTATTCCTGTGATCAAATTTTCAGCATCATTACTCCAGTCTTCAGTGTCACATGATCACATGGTCACATGTTGATTTGCTGCTCAAGAAACATTTCCGATAGTTATCAATTTTGAAAACAGTTTTTGTGGAAACAGTGATACATTTTTTCAGCATTCTTTAAAAAATTTAGTTCAAAAGAACAGCATTTAATATATTTTGTGACATTATAATTTTTTATGTAAACTTTAGATCAGTTTAATGCATCCTAGCAGTATTTGAAGAAAAAAAAAATTATCCATCAGGAATTTACTTGATTATGAAAAGGGCTTGATGTCGTAATCATAAACAAAGTCCTTAGTAAAATCACTGCGATTGCATGGACTCTTGTGGCGTATTGCTTTAATAAAATGCAACAGAAACAAACAGCACTCACCTTTGACGTCTTCATCCTCAATGGTGGTGTTGCTGCTGTCTGAAGATTCCTGTACGACAGACAAAAGCAAATCAGTGTCTGACCTCACATCTTCATTAACACACATATACCAACCACGAAATATTTACTTAACAAACAGCAACTAACTCCAATAAAGCACGACCAATACTACCACTGAGACAAATGCATCATCACCACAAATGAAGTTGCACATATTACACTTCAGATGAATGACATTGGCAACAGTAAAGTAGACAGCCGCGGGCTGATCTGAGCTCTATATCTGAAGTGGGTTTAATCTCAGGCTCAGCCACCTGGTGAGGCTGTAACACAGCCATTCAATGAAACTCAGATCCTCTACGCTCTGTTGTGCATCTCCACGTCTCTTTCCCAGATGGCAGCATTGAGACCGCAGCTGCACCCTCCTCCCCTCTGCATATGCATGTAACCACCCACACCCACACACACACACACATTTAATAGCTTGCATTTAGCTTCTGATGTATAACAAATGCAAATGATTGAGCCCCCGTCTGCTGGTATTTCTCTCTACGGGTTCCTGTGTGTGTGTGTGTGTGTGTGTGTGTTTGCCCACCGCAGGCACCGTGAGGGTTTGAGACGCACACAAACGGACACTTCAGCCAGCTGTGGACATGCATATGAGGACGGGCGTCCGTCATTATGGAGGCAAGATAGGAAACTTTTTTTGGCAAGAATCGGAAAGTCTGATTAGATAATTTAAGTTAGTATTCTTTAATAAGAAAGAAACTGATAACAGTATGACATTTTTGTTAAAAAACACATTTAGCTGTGGTTCTCATATGGGAGATTCAGGTTCAGATCTGGCTTGCGTCATGCCCTGATTCTATTCTACATCTAAAATAACTTTTATTAGCATAAAAAATAGCTAATTAATTATTTTAAATAAACAAAGACTCCTAAAAATCACACCCTTAAAGTCAACATGAAATCAAATCAAACCTTTTTAAGGAAATTAAATAGAAAAAAAATGCTATATAGTATATAATACTATATTTGTTAACAATCTGAGTTGGAAACAGTAGTCAAGGGGGGTGGACACTTTCATTCAAAAGTTTGGGATCAGTAAGATTTTGTTTTTGAAAGAAATTAATACTTTTATTCAGCAAGGACGCATTCAATTAATCAAAATGGACAGACTCTTATAATGTGACACAAAATATTTCAATGTCAAATAATGCTGATTTTTCTACTTTCTATTCATTAAAGTATCCTGATTTTTTTTTTATCATGGTTTCCACAAAAATACAAAATACGTTTTCAACATTGCTAATAATCAGAACTGTTTCTTGAGTATCAAATCAGCATATTAGAATGATTTCTGAAGGATCATGTGACACTGAAGACTGGAGTAATGATGCTGAAAATTCAGCTTTGATCACAGGAATAAATTACATTTTAAATTATATTCAAATAAACAACAATAAATTCTAATATTTCATAAAATTAGTGCTTTTACTGTATTTTTGATACAATAAATGCAGCCTTGTTAAGCATAAGATTGTTCTTTCCAAAAAAACATTCCAAACTTTTCAGCAGTAGTGTAATTTTTCTTTTCTTGCAAATGTGTCATATTATGCAGTTTCAAGTTGAGTTGTTGATTAATTTCTGCATAAAACCATGTGCGTATAGACTAGCATGGGTCAAATGATTAGACTGAACCATTGGTTTCACTGTTTTAACTGAAACAATTAACATTGAACAGTGTACTAAACACCACACTCTTTCTCAAACACTTTCCCATCTTAATGCGAGTACATGCTCACTCACAAACCAAAAACAACAACCTTGCTCGCACCACAGAATAAAGAGACTGGCAACAGACGACAGAAGCAGAGAGAGGAAGAGAAGAGTGGAGGATGAAAGAGAAGAGGATGGGGAGGGAGCTGAGGAAGGATGTACCTTGATCCCATCCGCTGGGTTATGGATAACAGTGGTCTGAGGCTCCTAAAGAGAGAGAGAGAGAGAGAAAAAAGAGGAAGAGGAGGAGACAGCGAGAGAGAGAACGAGAGGGAAAAAGACGAGCAAAATGAGATGGAGGTGAGAGATGGGAAGAATAAAACAAGTGTTAGCAAAAAAAAAAGAGGAGAAATGTAGAGTCACATAAGAGCAGTCTCAGTAAAAGCGAGAGAGAGGAGGAGGAGGAGGAGGAAGATGATGGAGGTTATTAGTCAGAGGTGGCGCTCTGGTTAAAGGCAGAGGACAGCGAAGGTCAAAGCCCAACATCTGAAGCCAGTCCAGAGATGTGAACGCATTTAATCCCAGTGCAAACTAATGAGGAGCTCAGCAAATCGACAACTTCTTGATTAACATATTAAAGTGCCCCTATTATGCTTTTTAGGATATTACCTGTCATGTAGTGTGTGATATAGCTGTGTGTGAATGTAACAGGTCTGCAAAATTTCAAAGTGCATGATTAATGGAGTTATTGTCTCCCCCCCCCCAAAAAAGAACCGACTCTGAAGTGCCTGAAATGAGTTGTCAGTAATTCCAGGTTTGTAACAAATTTGGACCACATTTTAGTTTAGGGTCCAATTCTCACTATTAACTATTAACTATGACTTTTGCTTCAAACTCCTAATTACTGCTTACTAATAGTTAGTAAGGTAGATGTTATGTTTAGGTATTGGGTGGATTAAGTGATGTAGAATATTGTCAAGCAGAATAATGCATTAATATGTGCTTTATAAGTATTAATAACAAGCCAATATCCTATATGCATGCTAATAAGCAACTAGTTAATAGTGAGAATTGGACCCTAAACTAAAGTGTTACCCAAATTTGCATAATGCCCGGCTGTGATCTTCATTGGCTGCCCGCAAACAACGTCTGCTTTGACCCTCAAACACTGCAGTTGTAGCTGTAGTTTATATCCTGACCTAAATTGACGGTGTCTTGTCTTGTTTTGTTTGTTAATATTGTGAAAATGATGGTAATGTATCTTTTATGATGGTCATCTTCCTATGTGATTTGTATGATGGTCATCTTTTTGTATTATGTTTGTTTTATGTCATAAGTGTCTTTTAAGCCTATTTGGGCTGGGCATGTAAGTGCAAGACACTTTAATAAATAAAATAAAAATAAAAAATAAAAATAAAAATGTAGCTGAGACTGGAAGAGTTTGGTTTGTGTTGTCGTCATGTTTTCTGCGCTGTGAAAGCAAATCCACTTTGGAGGAGTGGTTACTGTTCGATTAACTGTGTATTAAGTGCTGAGATAGATCTGGAGCTGAAGTTCAGATTATGGTAATAGGTGTTTCATTTCCTGCAAGCGGTTGACCAATCACAACAGACTGGGTCATCTGACCAATCAGAGCAGAGCAGGCTCTCAGAAAGGCGAGGTTTAGAGAGACTGAATCCTTTATCAAACTGTTTCAGACACTGAGAAAAGAGCTGATGCTGCAATGTATTTTGAGAAAATGAAAGTGTTTTTTGAGCTTGGAGGCATGTAAACTTACTATGCGGGAGACTCCAAAACAAAATTAGGAACCTTAAATATGGCATAATTAGGGGGCACTTTAATGCCAAGTGCTTTCATTTTAAAACAAAATATATATAAAATCACATAGATCCAGTTAAACAGGCTAGACTAGTGCGCTAACCGCCTTTTAACAGAGTTTTGCTCTTTAAACTTAATAAAATGTTGAAAACCTGCAACTTAAGTAATCTAAAATGGTCTATAATTGCAACCAGACCCTTAAGTCAAACTTCAGACTATGTGTGAATATTATTGCATTACATCAGGGTTTCCCAATCTGGGGTTTGTGAGTCAATGAAAAGCTAATAATGAATCAAATCATAAAAATGCCAGATTTAAATAAATACATTTATACATCAAAATAAAATAAAACACTTACTAACTGCATGGACATCAGTCATCAGAGAGCTGTGAACTTGTTTTGTTAAATTATTGAAATATTAACTTTAAATATCATGGGAACTTCAGGTAAATATCTTAGATCAGCTGACAAAAAAAGTTTGGAAATCCCTACATTTTACTAATTAAATTATAAACAATAATAAAAAAAACCACAAAAAAACAATAATAGCAATTTAAGAAAGTTAGCACAAGCACACTTTAAGCAAAGCATTTTCCAAAAAGGATTGTTAGGTCTGAAATTATGTCATGTTTTCAAATGCCATTTCCTTTTTATATTTTGTTATCTAATGCAATAACATTTGGACATTTTTGAAATGTGACTCAAGTGGCCAAATACATGTTCGGGGTCACTGCATCTCTCAAAAATCAATGCAATTCTGAAGCTATAAAAAGATATAGCTAAAAATAGTTTTACAAACAACCTGAAATTAGGATTTTATTAGACAATATTGTACTGGTTTATATCACATTTGATCCAGTACAATAATAGAAATAATTTCTATACGTCACACTTTACAGCATTAGCTCACATAAAAAAGATATTCACACACAAACACTTATATTTAAATGGAACATCATAACGGTCATAATGAGTGTCAAAACACACAAAGAGCCAACGTCAAAGTTTGGTTGGCTTGCCATTGATCCAAACAATGAGGAACACACAAATGTTGTCCAAACAACGTCCATGCACACTCACCACACATCTTTATGAAAACATGAAGCTAATTGACGCTCTAAGCATCAAAATGCATCAAATTTGGACTATAAAATCGTTGATCATAACATTGTTTCGATGACAAAGATGAAGATACAGAGACACACATAGCGTCTATGACAGGTGGCCTGAGACGGGCCAGACGCTGACACAGACAGACATGTGTGAGACAGGAGAAGGAAGCCAAAGTGACAGACGAGTCGGAGCGAGAGAGAACAGAGAGGAATAAGGAGGTAAATACCAGAGCAGGAGAAGGGGCGTTTCCTTTGGGACTGGTGACTATGCTGTTTTTCCCACTGTTTGACTGTGGCTGTGCAGAACACAAAAGGGTGTTAAAGGGTGTCAGTGGGTGTTTAAGGGCGAGATGACAGAAAGAGAGAAATACAGAGAGAGAGCAGGGGTGATAATGTGTTCAGCGGTGAGGGAGTGGATTGTGTTTTAAATCATAGTTCATAAATTGAGCCGTGGTCTTGGAGATACATTGAGTGCCCTTTGTTCATCATTTGTAAATTTAGATGAATCTCATAAAACCTGTCAAGTACACTTCCATGTCCACATTACCACAAAATGAAAAAATAATTACAATTGATCACACTGTACTGATGGAAAATCCAGTTAAAACCAGTTTTCAGCTGGTTTTACATGGTTTTCATGTGGTCCAAGCTGATCATTTGCTGGTCCAGATGGTTAAGCAACTGGACTACCAACCAGTGAGGATAAAGTAGACCATCTTGATAAAGCTGGTTAGAGCTAGACCACTGTTGACCAGCAAAAAACAGCTTCTCCAGCTTATGACCTGTTTCCAGCAAGCTGAATGAAAGCATTCAAAATAAAAATCAAGTAAGCAAAATGTTTTGAAAATCTGTGCTTGGTCCATTGTTTTCTTAGAGAAAGATGCACAACTGGAGTAGAGTCCTTATGAAGCTACGGGAAGTACAATCACAGACGACATCAGACAGACACACAGACGCAAGGAAGCGATAACGAAAAGCCAAACACAAAAGACACAGTCTAAAACATACACAACAAAGGTCAACATCGACTCGCTACAACCCTCCACATCATAAAGAACGCCAACACAAAAACACTACGGCAGGTCTGAAGACCCTCACCTGTGTTTGAGGAGTCATTTAATGCCATCTGACCCTTTAAATCAATCGCTTGATATTTGAGCAAGAGAAGAATCAATATAGATCATTACAGAGGAAGAGTGGATTTATTCGACATTATGCATTAAATGACACAAAAGGATGAGCAAATGAATGAATGGATAAACAAGAGTGAGATGAGAAAGGGATGGAGGGATAAAGAGATTAGGATTAAATATCATTCTCACCATGTACTGAACGGTGGAGCTGGATTTCCGTTTCTGGGTGGAAAGGAGGTGATGGAGGGATGGAATGAGAGAGTTAAATACATGTTATGATGAACGCTGAGATGAACATTAATCACACGGAAACGGACAGACATATGAGCGGAAGGAAGGTTGAGATGAGGTGAAGCAAGGTGTGGGTTTTTGGCAAGAAAGTAAACTTGTCTGGTGGATAAAAGAGGTTTTGATGTGGTTTCATGTACAGAAGAGCCCTTAAAGGGATAGTTCACTTTGAAATTAATTTTTGGTATGTTTTAGCTTACCTCAAGGGCATCCAAGATGTAGGTGTCTTTGTTTCCGCGCAAGTTTCAATTTTGATATTTTTAGGTCAAACCGTTCTTGTCTGTCAGTGATATAATGCAGGTCTATGGTCACCACCTCAAAGAGCACGCACAGAGAAGTCCAAATTAAACATGATTTAATGACTCGTAAATGTAAGTACACATTGATGGCCTAAGACACGAAACGAGCGGTTTGTGTGAGAAAACGAACTATTTATATCGTTTTTTCCTCTTGTAACGCACAGACCGAAGCGCCCGCGCCCTCAGATCACTTGGACGTGGCTGTGTTTACAAGAGGTAAAAACGATATAAATACTGTTCGTTTTCTCACACAAACCGCTCGTTTCGTGTCTTAGGCCATCAATGTGTAATTACATTTACGAGTCATTAAATCATGTTTAATTTGGACTTCTCTGTGCATGCTCTTTGAGGTGGTGACCATAGACCTGCATTATATGACTGACAGACAAGAACGGTTTGACCTAAAAATATAAAAATTGAAACTACTGCGGAAACAAAGACACCTACATCTTGGATGCCCTTGAGGTAAGCTAAAACATATCAAAAATTCATTTCAAAGTGAACTATCCCTTTACGGCATTCTCTTCCCTATCTTAATAACCTGCTGATGGGAGTCCGTGCAGGTGTTGACAGAACCGTTCCTCTATCTCTACAGTCATGAGGCTATTTTCAGAGGTTTGACAGACAGACAGAGAAAGAATGATAGATAGAAAGAACAATACAACGATAGACAGATAGATAGAAAGAACAGTAGATAGAAAGAATGATAGATAGATAGAAAGAAAGAACAATACAACGATAGACAGATAGAAAGAACGGTAGATAGAAAGAATGATAGATAGAAAGAACAATATAGCAATAGATAGATAGAAGATAGAACGAACAAACAATAGATAAATAGATCAAACGATAAATCGATAGATAGAATGAATGATAGAATGACAGAATGACCAAACAATAGAACGATAGAATAAACAAACAAACAATAGAACGATAGACAGAATGAACGAACGATAGACAGAACACACGAATGAATTAACCGATAGAAAGATAGATAGAATGAACGAACAATAGATTTATAGAATGAACAAACGATAGGCAGAACAAACAAATAAATGACCAAACAAAACCCCCCCAAAAAACATGATAGATAGATAGATAGATAGAATGAACAAATGAATGAACCAACAAACAAACAAACATTTGATAGATTTAATGAACAAATGAGTGAACAAACAAACAAAACGATAGATAGAATGAAGAAACAAATGAATGAATGAACAAACAAAAACAAAACGATAGAATGAAGAAACAAATGAATGAACCAACAAACAAACAAACAAAACGATAGATAGACTGACCAAGTGATAAAACAATAGAATGAACGAATGATAGACAGAACAAACAAATGAGTGAACGATAGATAGATAGATAGATAGATAGATAGATAGATAGATAGATAGATAGATAGATAGATTCAAATTCATAGTTATGACTTGAAAGGGTCTAAATTTTTATCCATCTATATTTATTGTCGTCTTTTACTTCCTGTCCATTTCATTAATCTGTATCTCTTTCGAACTGAACCTGTGTTTGTGGGGGTCTCTAAGAGTTAAACCACGATCATCCATGCTTCCCCTCACAATTCATCCCGTGGTGACGCTCTTCATCGCACTGCAGAACGAACGGCAAGACAGCAAGAAAACGAGAGCGCAGAAAAAAGGAGAGAAATGTCAGAATGGAGGAGTGTGTTAAGCCAGTTGCTAAGCAATGAGTGAGGTGCAGTGGAAGGGTCTATATCTGTCTCCCGGTTCCCTGGGTTCAAACCGCCAGCTATTCCTGGAGCGAGAGCCACATTCCCATCGAGGAGGTCCACCCTCCGGCTTTCTCACACTCATACTCTGGATTGGGATGATATTGTGGATCTAAAGTGAGGCGTGGGAGGAGGAATCATGGAATGATTGGCAGAGAGACTGAAAGTGGCTTATTAGCACAGTCGGGGTGATGAAAGATCACACCTGCCCGAGCGGATAATGAGAGCGCTTCGGAAAAAAAAGATTCCCGCCGCAGGTGCAGTTTTGAGTGAACTTGTGGATGAGATCCACTCGGCGGCTGACAGGAAGTGAGCTCAGCTGAGGATGAGAACACAGTCTGACAGAAATGCTGATGGTGGGCGGTGAGCCGAGCGGATTCAGACTCGACCGCAGTCAGAGGAGAGAGAGTCAAAGGAAAATATGAATGCAAGACATATTGGTCACTACAATACCGTTCAAACGTTTGGGGTCAGCAAGGATGCATTAAATTAATCATAATTTAAAGTATAAACATTTATGTTACAAGAGATTTCGATTTCAAATAAGAAAGTTCTTTTGAACGGTCTATTCATCAAAGAATGTATTATGATTCCACAAAAATGTTTTCGACATTGATAATAATAAGAAATGTTTCTTGAACAGCAAATCAGCATATTAGAGTGATTTCTGAAGGATCATGTGACACTGAAGACTGGAGTTATGATGCTGAAAATTCAGCTTTGATCACAGGAATAAATTATATTTTAAAATATATACAATCAGGGCTTGACATGAACTTTTTTGCTCACCAGCCACTCTAGCTAGTGGTTTTCCAAAGTTACTAGCCACTCATCATTTTCACTGGCCACAATTTTGACATCGATACCATTGGGGGAAAAAACTGCCATATAGATATTTTTAATATTATCTCATAATTTGGCAGCAGGAATATTAGGCTGCTGTCACTTTAAGACCTGACGCACGGATCCATTATACTATTACACATGAGTTTTCTTTCTCTACTGTTTACATTCACTTAAAACATAACTGACTGTGTTTATGTGACACATGAGTAAACATGAGTAAAATTATGCACAATACGTGCAATCCCATGCCGAAATTCAAGCCCTGTAACACCAACAATATTCATCCGGAGCAAAATAAACGAGTGAGTGAGGAGAGGCGGGTTTGTGTGTCTGTCGGAGAGATGAGAGAGAGGGAAAGAGCAGCTGGTATCGTGTATCTATTTTGCGGAAAATGAGTATCGGAAGCGTTTCAGATACTTCAGTATCGATATATATCGAAAAATCGATATTTTTTTACAACGCTACATTGCACTTACCGGTAGTTTATTATTTCAAATGGCTTTTTAAAAGACTACAATTGAAAAATGTATATAAAATTCAACCTGCCAAAATGGCTATAAGGAGTGACTGTGTTACACACCGCTGCTGAAATACACACACATTGGCAGTTTGGCGGGTGTTCATGTCAAGCCCTGATTCCAATAGAAAACAGCTATTTTTTTAACTATAGTAACATTTCTCAATAGTACTGTTTTATAGTATTTTTGATCAAATAAAGGCAGCCTTTGTGAACATAAGACTTCAATTCAAAAACATAAAAAAAAAAAAATGTAACTGACCCCAAACTTCTTTGATATCTTTCTATGTCAGTACAAAACTACTGTAGTAAAACTTCTACAGTTCAGCCAGAAATGAAAAAATTAACGTCCAGAAAGAGAATGAGAAACTTATAGGAGGAAGCTAAAGTTCAAGCAAGATCACTGACCTGTAACACACTGAACAATTTTAAAGCATAATGTCTGAGACAGTTCAGCCCACATATCCTCATTTGTTCAGGACTAAATGTTACAGAAACGCAGCATCAGCGCAGGAGAGAGTCGCAGGATTTTCCTTGGGGAGCTTTTTAGCATTAGGCCTCATAAAAACTTGCAGGCTAAAAGATTACGTAACGCATGATTAATGCTGCGAGTGGAGGGGATTATTCTCTAGATTAGACTCCACATCCAATCCCTAATAGAGAGCAGTCACAGATTCATTTCTAATTCTGCGGTGCAATAAGAGGTGAAAGCCGACCTTTTTCCTCTGTCTGAGAGGATTATATGTTATCAGAACAAATGAACCTGCAAGTGCACTCTCTCTAACAGCTCATTACAGGTCAGAGGTCAACATCTGTGCGCGTACACCTGATGCCGTGTGACGCACACCGCGCCGTGGAACTGATGGCGATCACGAACAACGAGAACAATGACTGAGGCTCAATGGGTGAATTATATAGGTATAACGGAATAAGATTTAGAAGTTATTGAAAAACCAAGCTTCTATTTGGGCAGAGTGGTGTGACCATGTTTACTGTGCGACGACAAAAACGGGTAAAGATTCTGCATTATGTTCATGGTGCAATTTCGAAAAACCAGAGTTGCTATCAACTATACCTAAAACCATTTAAAAATGTTTTTTTGTTAGCTAAAAATAAAGCTGAATTAAATAATAATAATAATAATAATAATAATTTTATATTATATATAAGTGCTGTAGCAGTAATTAAAAAAAAAAATATATATATACTAGTGCTGTCAAATAGATTAATCGCATCTAACATAAATGTTTTTGTTTACATTATATTCATGTCACGTGTGTATACATTTTATATATATATATATATATATATATATATATATATATATATATATATATATATGTTGCCTTGGCAATTTACTGAAACAAAGTAATTTTAAGCTGTGCTAAAATTAAAACAGAATTATTAATAATATTAATAAAATAGAAATATTTAAAAAATAAAAACAAATAAGAATGACAAAAGCACAAAATAAAGTTAATAAAAAAATTAAAATAGAAAAATAGAAGCTAATTCAACATATTAATAAATACTAAAATAGCATATAATTATTAAAATAACACTAGTTGCAACATCACAAATATTCAGTTGTTCGGCTATTTTACTCCAAGTGCGGCTCATCCAATCTTATTATTATGGTTTTGAATTAATAAATAATTATATCTAATTATAAATAATGAATGAATGCATGAATGAATTTTAATTGTTGAACTGTCACATAAAGTAAAGCTGTTTTGTCAGATTTATCATTCATTTGTTATGCAAAATCTTTCGCTTTCCATCCATCGAGTTGCAAATAATTAAAAAAACCCAGAAATTTTATTCACTGAATTATCCAAAATAGGCATTAGTATGCGTTTATGTACTTCATAAAACATTTTTGGATTGAAATTCTGGAAAAAATAGCTATATTGTGTACAGTTACAGTATACTGACACTAATGTAATATTATTTATATTATGAAACAAGATTATTATACCACCCACCACTACCTCATCTTATTTGAAGATCACTTGAATCTAATCTTGCAGAAGAGTCACAAACACACAGAACATGGAGACAGAGACTTCGGACACAAACACACACAACATGGAGACAGACACTGCGGACACAAACACACACAACATGGAGACAGACACTGCGGACACAAACACACACAACATGGAGACAGACACTGCGGACACAAACACACACAACATGGAGACAGACACTGCGGACACAAACACACAGATCAGCTTCAGACACGCCAAATCAAAACTTCCACCAATTAATAGACATGAAACGTTCAGGATCCCTCCTCTACGGGAAACTGGGCAAATGCGAAGAGAAAGAGAAAAAGGTATGAATAAGGAAGAGGAGAAGGGAAATGAGCGGGGTCTTACCTTGACATCGGCCTTCTTGTTGAGCAGGCTCTTGGCTGCTGTAGATGTGGAGAGAGGAAACGCAAACATCAGCACGCTGGGACAGAGCAACAGTCAACATTACAGGAGCGCTAATGGTGCTCGGCCTAACATGTCACATAACTGTCCGAGCCAGCTGGGGAAATCCCCCCGTCCCACATCCAGGGGATTAAACTGGCGTCTGAAACACTACATGAGTACACACACACACACACACACACACATATCACGAGCAGAAGTGTGCAGTGTGTTATCGAATGCACTGTGCGGCCCAGAGCGAAAACTGGTCAAATAAATCAACATCCCGTCGAGGAGTGAGGGGTCGGTGACTGCCATGCATACGCAAGGGGATGCGCTGGTGCCCGTGCAGAAGAGTGCAAGCAAACACACACACACACACAGTTACACAGCTAAATGCATAGTATAGATTTCTGTATATATACACTACTTTATATAATGCAAATTAATAGGTAGGCCTAACATCCATTAAACAAACTTGAAAAGCCAAATTACTTTCGATTTTTTTGTTTTTGTTGATTAAGTAAATTACCTGAGGTTTAGGTTTAAAACAAGATACAAGTATAAATAAAAATAAACATAAAAATAGATATTTAGGTAATAAGTTAAGATTTTTTTTTACATTAAATCAAGACAAAAATATTGATAAAATATTTTTTTGCAGTGTAAGCCTAACCTAAACTCTAATTCAACCCCTAAAATAGAATTTTTTTCAATTTTTAGAATGAAAAAAAAAACAACCCAAAACATTTACATTACCGTTTATTAAAAATAGATTTTTAAAAATGTTTTTAAAAGTCTCTTCTACTCACCAAGGCTGCATTTATTTGATCACAAATGCAGTACATTTTAAAATATTATTATAATTTAAAATGACTTTTTTCTATGCAAATATATAAAATGTAATTTATTCCTGTGATCAAAGCTGAATTTTCCGCATCATTACTCCAGTCTTCAGTGTCACATGATCCTTCAGAAATCATTCTGATATGCTCAAGAAATCTTTCTTATTACTATCAATGTTGAAAACAGTTGTGCTACTTTATAATTTTTGTGGAAACTGTGTCAATTGTCAGGATTATTTGGTGAACAGAAAGTTCAAATGAGCATTATTTCTTTGAAATAGAAATATTAAGCAATTTTACTGTGACTTTCTATCAATTTAATGCATCCTTGCTGAATAAAAGTACAACAAACTTATTACATTTTTAATGGTAATGTATATTATTCACTTTATTTATAAACCCTTTTAATAACCTCCCAAAGGTAGGTTTAGTCAAATTTAGTGCACTTCTGGGACACTTTTATTTCCAAAGTACAGCTAAATAAACCCACCCACACACACACACACACACACACAGTGCAGTGTAAGCATGATACGTTCAAATATTTACTTCATGAGGTGGCGAACACCTGTTACCATAAAATGCTATTCCTGCCACAAGTGAGGATGTTAAAGATTGTCAAAGTCAATAAAAACTGTCATTGACAACTTCACATCACTAAAAGGAAATCAAATGAAATGGAGCCAGCAAATCCTATGTGAACTTTTAATCTTTGCTGCCTTGACAAGACGAAAGAAATATTCTTAGCGTTTCTATGGAGCTAAAGTCCCCGACTTTATTAATCCGTGCAGATGAGAAGAAGGTGTTGTGTGGAGGGGAGGGTTGAGAGAGAGAGAGAGAGAAAAAGAGTGAGAATCTTACCTTGACACAAATGTTAGAGGCAGAGAGGAATGGAGAGAAGGAGAGATTAAGAAAGAATAGATTAAGAGAGAGAGAGATCTGTACTGGTTCATGATCTGGAGTGTGTTTGTCTGGACGAGGGTAGGGGGTTCAAATGTGTGTTTCTTATCCGCCATATAACAAAGGTTAACTTTCCATCTTTGGTTTGAGTTTCAAATCTTTATCTTTGCCATGTTGTGCCATTATCAAGCCTTTTCCTCCATGACACAATTGCAGTGACACCTAGAGGTGGCAATAAACCCGATTCACCTAAAACCTCTGAGACACACACAAAAACAGCGAAGACGTGGAGTAGACGGGGAGATGGGCATCTGTGGGGAAAAAAAGATTCTACAAAACAGATAAAAATTATCAAAATTAATAATTCCGACTGCTAATGCACTATATTTAAACCGTTGTGTTACAGATGCTTTACATCCAAACTAAATTCAAAAATCTCAAGTATAAATGGACCACAAGGTATTATTATATTTGAAAATGCACCATGTATACCAGGTTAATTTCAATATAATGTATATGGATTGTATCTGCAGCTGTTGACTTTACCCCCCCCCCCCAAAAAAAAAACTCAAGTGTGAATAAATTAAAGCAAAAAAAAAAAAATCCATAATTTTTTTAATTTAAATATTTAATAAAAATGTATGGAGCCGTTAAACTGCCCTTATGGTGATGGAAAAAATATGAGATGGGAAGAAAAAAATATATCTCAATGCTTTTATGTTCCTGTGCAAAACTTTTGCATTCCCCCGAGAAACTTTGCGTTCCCTCACAAAACTTTTGCGTGCCACGTTGTGTTCCCTTGCAAAACTTTTGTTTCTGCCGAGTAACTTTTGCATTGCATTGCATTGCATTGTGTTCCCCCAAGAATCTTTGTCTCTCACAAAACTGATGTGTTCCCCAGAGAAACTTTCTCGGAGGAGCACAAAACATTTGCAAGCAAACGCAAAGCCATTGACTCTCCTCACATCTCATATTTTTTTCCATCACCATATCCCTTTAGGGCAGGGTTCCCCAAATCCGGTCCTGGAGGACAAATGCCCTGCAGAGAAGAGCTCAAACCCTGTTCAAACTCACCTGTAACTCTGTAGACCTCGACTAGCTTGTTGTTCAGGTGTGTTTGATCGGGGTTGGAGGTAAACTCTGCAGGACAGTGGCCCTCAAGGACCGGATTGGCAAAACCTTGCTTTTGGGGCTCAGTGATAATGTAAAAGTTATCTGTGGCAATCAACAGCAGTCCACAGACATTAAACTCAAAATAAGCTAATAATATTCCTTTAACCATCACTGAAAACTTGCTGCATAGATGCTGGAATCAGCCAAGAGTAAAAGTGTCCTATACTTGAATGCTGAAAGGACATTGAACCCCCTTTCCCGAAACACACAGGTTTGAGACGCATGCACTCGGATCGGATCACATCAGGCTTCTCCTGCATCACAAGACATGCGTGTGCTCTCGTGCAACGTTCAGTCATCAGGCAAGAGAAAGAGAGAGAAACCTATAATCAAGAGATCTGACACACAAAAGAAACCCAAGGGAAGAAGAAATGAGGAGGGACATGACTGAAGGATGGCAGATTTGCACATGGATGGATGGAGCAAGTGGAGAGAGAGAGAGAGGGAGAGAGTGCAAAAAAAAAAAAGAAATAAGAAGAGATAGATGTTGACCCTGTTGGAAAATCCAGCTAAATAAAAACCAGCTGCTGAAATGCCACTTTAAATCACACTTGTCACTGTCAGTCAGGTGGTCTTTTTCTATCCGAATCTGCAGTCACACTAGACTCCATGCTTTTATAGTGGTAAAAGTGTAGTAACCATGTTTTTTGGCAGATTGATTACCATTTGTATAACAGTTTTACTACAAATTCCATGGTTAAACTAAGGTTAGTGTAGCAAAATACACCTTTTTACTATAGTAACCATGATTTTTGGGTTTTATTTGTAGTAAAACTGTTTAATTTTCGTAAGGGATGTGGACATGTGAGACTAGAGACAATGAAAGTTCAGCTTAAACAAGACGATAATGCACATAATAAAGTCTGGCTGTGGGGAAATGTGTTGTTCTAAGTTTAACATATGCTGGTCTAGATGGTTAGTGGGTCGTGGTTTTGATCTGGTAGAACATCTTGGCCAAACAGTTAAACCATTTTAGATCAGCAAAAACCCACTGTCAAAAAAACCACAACAACTTGACTGCTTAAAACTAATATGACCTGGCTTTTCCAGCAGAGGAGAGGAAAGATAGATGATTTTGTGAGCCGTTCACACTGATAGTGATTTGTAGCAACAAAATGATGAGAAATTTTTCATTTGTATTAATAGCAGCTGGTTTGAGCAGAAACTATTGCCAATTGCCAAGGTATATTTAATGCATTAAAAACCCTTTTATAATGCATTATACATAAAAGCTTTAAGTAAAGTGTTACCGTTGTTTTTCCTTCACGCAAATAGAGCGGCAACCACTAATAGAAAGTGAGTAATTTCACTGTTTTATACGATCCAAATGCATTTAGATTTGCATTTTATCCAAAACAACTTCAGGTACACTTATGTTCAAAAGTTTGAGGTTGATAAGATCTTTTAATGATTTTGAAATGAGTCTCTTATACTCACCAAGGCTGCATTTGATCAAAAATCTTTTTTTTCTTCTTTTTTTTACAATTTAAAATAACCGTTTGCTATATGAATATATTTTAAAATATAATTTATTCCTGATGCAAAGCTGAATTTTCAGCATCATTACTCCAGTCTCCACTGTCATTCTAATATGCTGATTTGCTTCTCAAGAAACATTTCTAATTCTTTCTCTACTAGTTGATCTAATACAAACTGTGTCAGAAACTGTGTGCATTCTGAACGATTCTGTTTCATGCATTTATAATCATGCAATCATCTTGTGATGCATTATTCACTGCTGCGATTAAAAAAAAAGTTCCTCTCCTGAACTCTAATTTTTCAGCTGCTCCATTTGCGATGAGATTGTTATAAACAATGGCTGGTTGGTTGCGCAGAACAAACGCCCACTACGATCAACGATACAGCTACACCAAGTGACCCGCAGTCAGTGTGAACGGGGCTTTATGAAGCCTGCAAAACAGAGAGATGGAGAGGACAAAGAGAGAGAAATGAAGGAATAAAGAAAGAGAGATCTAAAGTCAGCCAGTGGCGTCCGCAGTGCTGAACACGAGACCGCTGTAACCGTGACATGCTCCAAGCTCCATGCTGAATGTGAATCATGAGAAGATGGATGGATGGATGTGACGAGGGCTACCTTGTTCCACCAGACCGGCGGTGGCCCCTGCCGCAGCGGCGGCCGCAGAGACTGAGGAGGGAGCCGTGGTCTGCCTGCCCACTGCCACACACACACAGACACACACATATGCCCATCGTGCCATAGACCACTGCTTCTCAACTGGTTTTGCCAACACTGAATCAATATTGCGTAAAGCTCAAAAGTAACCCCCCAAAAAAGCCTATTTCAGAAGGCCAGATTTAGTGGCTACCCTGGTACGTTTTTTCTGCATTGTTTTTAGCACCTTTTTTAAAACTAAGGCTACACATATAACCTTCTGGAAAAGGTTTTATTTTGGCTGAGTAAAACGATTCACTTGTTTTCTCGATGCATCGATTACAAATCCTGCTGATTCATATGCATAGATCTTAAAACATGGATTTTTGAATCATGAATTGCTCGTTTCAATCAATAATTGATTCAAAATGCTAAAAATTTAGTTAGTTACTATTCTGTGAAGTATTTTTCTACTTCACTATTAACTGACTGAATAAATGTTTTAGTTTTAATAAGATCAATATAAGTTTAATACAGTAAAGTCTATGCAGTTTTATTTTACATTTATTAATTTATTTATTTTCTCACTTGAATACTACTATTAGATCTACATAAAAACCTAAAGAACGGTTTATTCCATTTTTCTGCTTGTTATTTGTTTAATTGTTCTTATGTTGATACTGACTGATTACTGGTTTACTTCAATAATTGCTTTTAATTCAAGCTTTTTACTTAATATTAGGCAAGTATTCACTTTTGCTGCGGTATTGAAATTGGTATCAAGAATTGGCATCTAAAGTAACAACCTAACCATAACAACTCTATTTACAGCAAAAATCATAATAGATAATGTTTTTGTGAAATAAAATTATGTTTTTGGTCATATCGAACACCCCCACTATGAATGTACGTAGAAACAAACAAAATGAAAGCATTAATTGACACTAATCCTGAATCGACCTATGATTGAAACTACTCACACTCCTATAGGCCAATCAGCTGTGTGCAAAGTGACATTTATCTGATGCAATATAGCAAATATATTTTGACAATTGATATTAAACTTTTATTTAAAATTAACATAAATGCATATATATAAATACAAGCTTTAAAATATGTAAAGATTTTTTTAAAACCATTTAACTTGTTTTTTAAGCTATTTGTGAACCTATATAAATTGATTCAATAAATGTAGTGGATTCACTTGCATTAATACAGCCAGATATTTTCCTTCTCAAGCTTTCATGACAGCTCCAGTGTTTCTCCTGCCTTTTAAATGAACTTAAATTCAAGATATTTTTCATAATGATCTCTTAATCTTCAGCAGAAAGTCAGATGTCACACTTTCAGGCACACGCACTGAAGAGTTAATCATAAGATCAAACCCTGAGTTGACGTAAAACATTTATACCAAATTCGCTGAAAATGATCTTCTGCCAAGTGACAGACAAATTAACACCAAAATACCACAGACATAAGGCCTCTGACGTTCGCAGTTAGATACACTTTTAGGTCACGGCACACCAGTTGAGAACCACTGCTGTACTGACATGACATTGAGAGAGAAACTAAGGGATAGAACAGTCTGTTAGCATGGAGAGAGTTAGCTGGAAACACAAGCTGCTGTCTGCAACCAGAGAGGGATTCTGAGAGTCCATTACAGTAGTAATCATATAATGAGTTTTCCCCTGTCATTCTGGAATAAAGAAAAGGCTCATTTTCTTGTCAAGCTCTCTTCGGGGAGCCACTCTCTCCTATCAGCGGGGAATAAACGCCACTTATGCCAGCGCCGATCTACGCCACGGCAAAGCATTTATTTGGGGGTTGGAGTTTCGGTGTTGTGAGAAGGAAGTAGAAATACAGAGGGAAATAAGTGACAGAGAGAAGGTAAACAAGAGATGAAGAAAACAAGAAATAAATCCATATGCAATCTAATGTTCACCAACATTTGCGCTTTTCAAAAAAGCGTACAGTACAAACAGTACAGTCCGATTCATGAACAAGTGACTTTTTGTGAGCTGGTTCTGATTCAGTCAAGACGACTCGCTGAGTTATTGGTTTGAATCAAATCTAACGAGTTGTATGCTTCAGAGAAGCTGCTGAATTAAAACCGACTTGCTTATTACTAAATGGATGTTCGACGTGTAGTCAAAGATACACGTCAAAAATAAATAAATAAATAAAATCAGTGCTAAATATTTTAATTAAAATAAAAACATGAAAAGAAAGTACCAAAAAATAGGTACCAAGTAAAATTTGTTGACAATAATTGGCTTAACTGGACTTGGCAATTTCATAGTAGAAAACAAAAAATCTATACAGTAGATATAATAATGTACATATAATAATATTATTATGAATGCATTTTATTATATTATTATGAAGTAAATAATAATATAATAAGGGCTGTCAAAATTAACATAGCATCCATTTTTTCCTGTCATCCTTTGGCAAGCGTTACATTATATGATCACACTCTTATTTATACAAGTGCTTTTAAACCATTCAAGTGCAATAAGACACAAAAGAGAGTATTGGTATTGGTGCGTATCTGTGACAAAATGCCCGTTTGTCGAGTATCCTCACAAGCACAGTTAAATGAGCCTAATAATCCTGCTGCTGTCTGTCATTAATGTTAATCAAAGAACAAAAAAAGGAAAAATCACTGATTGCTCTTTTTTAGCTTTAATAATAACTTTTGTAGCTTTAATAAGGATTATTAAATCCTATATTTAATTTATAATTCATGAAGTGACGACTGTGAAGTGTTTGATAACTGAATGCCTATAATTAACGGCTAAAATTGAGAAAAAATGTATTTCATTAATTAGCAGCAGTGTTGGTGTCAGTGATACTGGCCTTCTTTCATTAAAAGATTACATTAAACAAGTATTGAAAATATACGCTACTGTCTTTATGTTGTTTCTACATTAATTTGGAGATTAAATGTGAAATTACTACAATATAAACAAAAATGTTTAAAACTTTAAAATGTTAGGTGCGATTAATCACGATTAATTAGTTAACTTTTTAATCATTTGACATATATAAAATACATAAATAAAAATGCAATCCACTTTTTTTCTTTAATCATGGACAATTTCTCTACTATTTGTTTCTACTATGAAATAGCCAAGGCAGATTTATTTATGACTTTTGTGATGATTACATATTTTCAATTTCTCCACCCAAAAAAGACAGAATAAGGGGCATATATATACTATATAAAAAAAATAAAATGTCCCTATCAAAGGCCGAATAAAGGATAAGGGAATGACATATGAGGGCAAGTGTGTGGAGTGACGCTCGGACACTCCCACGCCTCCTCTACCACTGAGTCACCCCGCGGGATGAGGTAATTACAGTAATGAGAGCAGAGAGAGGACGGGGGACGAGCCTCTGATGGAGAGAGCAAGAGAGAGAGAGAGAGAGAGAGAGAGAGAGAGAGAGAGAGAGAGAGAGAGAGAGAGAGAGAGAGAGAGAGAGAGGGAGAGAGAGAGTGGCCATCTAAAACGCTCCTCAAACAGGAACACTGTTGCTTCCGCCCACCAGCCTGCTGTTGAAGTGCGAGCGAGGGAGAGTGTGTGTGTGTGTGTGTGTGTGTGTGTCGGGAAGTGAGAGAGCAGATGCTTCATTACAGCAGATATAAATCACATGTTATTATAAACGCCAGTTATCACAAGCAGCATTTGGCACAGCTACAAACATCTAAAATACGAGGCCCGCTGCTCACAAACGCCACGCGCTTCCTACAGAACCACACGTCTCTGAATCAATCTGTCAGGACACGGCCCGAACGTCCAGCTGCTCTCCGAATCCAATGGTCGGATAAGAAACTGCGTATCGTTCCCTTAGCAGCGAGATTTCCTTTTGTACTGAAGTGTCTGATGCCTCAAGCCACAAGGCAGGATTTATTAATAGCGTAAATACTTAAGTAGATAATTTAAAGGGAGAGTACACCCAAAAATGACAACTCAGTCATCATTTGCGCACCCTTACGTCTTTCCAAAACGAGGAATGATTTCCTTTCCCACGTCGCAGACAAAAAACGTCAGACAGAATGTTAATGCTGCTCTTTTTTACTCAATAACAGTGAATGGTGATGACCATCCAAAAAGCACAATAAATGCATTATATGTATAATGTATACATAATATATTATATATACACTATATTACTTCTGAACACATATGGAAAAAAGCTTTTTACTCTTAGAAGACGTGAAATATAGCAAACAAATGGTATGGTTGTAATAATTTTATGTTTTGTAATAATTAGAGCTGCTAGTCACCATTCACTTGCAACATATGAAAATTGCATAATTATATGCATTAAAAAAGTCATATGAGTTTGGTGTGATCACAAGTTTCATTTTGGGGTGAACAATTCCTTTTCAGTTTTGTTTGTGTTAACTAAAACTTTTTAAAAAATTGGGGCGGGAATAAAGTTGAAATAAAATAAATAATATATAAATATTAGAAGCAAAATTTAAACTTAAAATCCTAACACAAAAATTAGAAATGCTGCCTTGGGCAACTACTAAAAATAACTAAATGACTTAAGTACTAAAATGACTAACACTAAAAATAAAAATAATAAAAAATAATAATAACAAAATCACATAAATTACAAAAAATTTAATGTGAAAATATAAAAGGAAATGCTGATTAAAAATATGAACATATACTATAATATTATATAGAATTAAATAATTCTAAAACAACACTGTTAATAAGAGTTTGTGTTGAGGCTTTTAGAATAGAAGTCAGATTCATTTATTGATTTGTAATTTTTTATTCCTCTACTTTAAGAAGTCAAATAGTTTAGTTAGCACAGTCCGGGTTGGTCGAGTGATTGTGCGGGCCTTTGGTTTTGTCTTTTTTGGGCTCTATGTTTATGCAACAGTTGGTTTAGTGATTTAGTACATAATATCTTGATGTGAACTTACCTGAGAAATTGCGCGACACCAGCATGGTGGTCAGAATCGCACCCTAGATGCGAGAAAGAGAGTAAGGCAAACAGAAGAATCAAGCGGTGGTTTTCAGACATAAACAGATGAAATGCATCTACTTTCAGGCATAATGACTTTGAAGAAGAGACATCAGCAGACCTTGAGTTTCCTTCTTGCGTTGAACTTCTTCAGGCACTCGACCGTTTCCTGTCTGTGCATCATGGACGCCACAGTGGAGCGTTGCTGTGAGAAACAGGAGAATCATTTTATTGATTCAAATTATAAGAATGGTTTGGGTCTTAAAGTTAATATGAAAACTAAAACAGATCCTATTTACATTGCTTGAAATATACCACTTCTCAGAAGTAATGACTTTAAGCATATGTATTCTGGTGTGTGTTGGTATTTAGTTCAGGTCGGTGGCCGGTAATACTCACACAGACCCACGGGTGTTTAAGGGCCTCTTGCGCCGTGATTCTCTTGCCTGGATTGATGGTCAACATCTGATTGATGAGGTTTTTGGCTTCAGGGGTAACCGTGTCCCACTCTGGGGAGGGAAACTACAGGAAACAAAGGAACACAGTTATATTTTGACTCCACAAGTTGTACTGTATGATAGAAACCAAAAGGGGACTCACGTCATAAGCCCCGGCTTTGATCTGTTGGTAGAGCTTGTGCTGGTCTTCATCCCAAAATGGAGGATATCCCACCAGCAGAATATACAGGATGACTCCTGCAATGACATAATAAACATTTCACTAATACCAGATTCTATGCAATTGTCTAAATTATATTACAAAAGTATATAAATAATAATACACACATTTTTTCAAATATATTTTAACAAATGTAAATAATATATATACATATATATATATATACATTATATATATATATATATTATCATTATATATATATATATATATATATATATAATAAATATAAACAAAAATGGCAAATGTTTTAAACTAAAGGGCAAAAAACATATATATATATATATTTATTTCCAAATATATTTTAACAAATATTTAATATACATTATATAAAAATGCAATATAAATCTAAATTAAAGTGGCAAATGTTATCAAAACAATGGCGTTTTTCATTTTGTCCACTTAAAAAATAATAATATTTTTTTAGTTTAATATGAGACAATTTTTTATATATATACTGTGTATATATATATATATATATATATATATATATATAGAGAGAGAGAGAGAGTTTATAAAAATAGTACACACACATATGTGCACATATATATATATATTTTCCAAGAAAAATGTATATATAACAAATATTATCAAATGTAAATAATATTATATAAATTATTAAAAATAAAATATAAATATAAAACTAAAACGACAAATGTTGTCAAAACAGTTAAGCTTTTAATGTCTAATTTTATTTTTTAATAATATATATATATATATTAAATAATATAATATACATCATTTAAAAATTCAAAATAATAAAATAATGCTAATATATTACATTAAATAAAATATAAAAAATATTAAGTTGAATTGTAAAAAGTGTAAATTATATTGTTTACTTATATAGAGGCATATTATATAAAATGTAAACTTAAATTCAGTTTAAGTCAAGATTGATAAAGTTTTGGTTAACAACATTTATTTTGTGACAACAAACAAACAAACATAAGATGCAACATAGGGGAACACTAATAATGAGTGTTACATTTTGAGAATGACTGTGAATCTGTGAATTGCTTCATTGATATACGAACTGTCCTAATGAACCTAGTTGAAATGAATCACTCCCGACCATAGACAAAACAACACCATCCCACCTACTAATCTGCAAAGTAATTAAACCGCTCAACTCAACTAGAGATACTCTAGAGAAAGTGGATGTGAAACAGGACGGTGGTGAAAGCGGCGCTTGGCAACAGCCTCTTGACAACACCTGCCGGAGAGAGCTCTCCACATCTGAGAATGATGCATCTGAATATGTGTGGGGTGTCGGGAGAGAGAAAGAAGATGGAAATAGATGCAAAGAACTCTATCGGGAGGGAGTGTGTGACTCACCACATGCCCAAATGTCCACAGGTTTCCCATAAGCCTCCTTTCTTAGCACTTCTGGGGAAAGGTAACCAGGCGTTCCAGCAAACCCTGCGTGCGAAAGTAAAAAGAAATACACATCTAAAAATGCAACATACAGACTCGTTCCATCTCAACACTGCCTGGACGTTTAAAAAAAAAAAAACATCTGGGTATCACAGTGTATGTGGAAATAACAAAATATTCAACAAATGATGAACACTCAGGTGAGAGTTTAAAGTGCCCACGTACCAAACCAGGCTTGCTGGTCCCCTTGTACTTCGATGGCCAGGCCAAAGTCGGCCAACTTGACGGCGGCGTTCTTGCATTTACTGGCCAAGAGCAGGTTTTCCGGCTGGGGGGGAGATCAGGGGTGCACTCATGTTACTGCTGAACCCAAATCTGATACACGTCACCGCATAACATACAACCACAGCTGTGCGCGAGACATACAAAATATAAGCTGTGCTGGGCAGAGTGCTGTCACCTGTAGAGTTCGCTACAAGCACTTTCATATTGATTTCAACTCTGTTTAAAAAAAAAAATCGGATTAATTATCACTGCTTTCCATTTAAAATCATTTGTGAGATCTTCCTACTTGATATCTATGACCTTTGACCTTATTATTAAAAAATGGAAAAATATTAAATCTTAACAAATCATGGACATTTCTATAGTAAATATAAATATTTCTAGATATGTCAAGCTCTCAAATATTTAAGCACACAGAAGCTGCTATTTGAGTAAAGAAAACTGTTTTTCTCTTGATCAAGAATGACTGGAAAAGTCATTTAAATTCAATGCCCATAAAGAGATTGGAAAAACACTCAGTTCTTGAAACTTCTAAAATTATGAAATGATTTTTTTTAAAATTTGTAATTACTTGTGTATATAAGTACTTGCCACTTTATTAGGTACACCTGTTCAACTGTTCGTTAACGCAAATATCAAATCAGCCAATCTCATCGCAGCAACTCAATGCATTTAGGCATGTAGACATGATCGAGACGATCTGCTGAAGTTCAAGCTGAGCGTCAGAATGGAGAAGAAAGGGGATTTAAGAGACTGAACGTGGCATGCTTGTTGGTGTCAGACAGAATGGTCTGAGTATTTCAGAAACTGCAGATCTACTGGGATTTTCACACACAACCATCTCTAGAGTTTACAGAGAATGGTCTAAAAAACAGAAAATATCCAGTGAGCGGCAGTTCTGTGGGAGAAAATGCCTTGTTGATGTCAGATGTCAGAGGTCAGCGACCAGATGAGCTGATAGAAAGACACCAGTAACTCAAATAAGCTCTCGTTACAACCGAGGTGCAGAAGAGCATCTCTGAACACACAACACGTCAAACCTTGAAGCAGAAGAGCTCCAGCAGCAGAACACACACACCGGTGACACTCCTGTCAGCTGAGAACTGGAGACTGAAGCTACGATTCACACAGACTCCCCAAAACTGGACAATAGAAGATTGGAAAAATGTTGCCAGGTCTGATGAGTCTGCAGCGACGTTCAGATGGTCGGGTCAGAATTTAAACAACATGAAAGAATGGATCCATCCTGCCTTGTATCAGTGGTTCAGACTGCTGGTGCTGTAATGGTGAAATGGGTATTTTCTTGGCACACTTTGGGCCCTTTAGTACCAATTGAGGATCTTTAAACGCCACAGCCGGCCTGAGTATTGTTGCTGACCATGTCCATCCCTTTATGACCACAGTGTATCATCTTCCAGCTGGATAACGCTCAATGTCACAAAGCTTAAATCATCTCAAACTGGTTTCTTGAACATGACAGTGAGTTCATAGTCCAGTCATCAGATCTCAATCCAATAGAGCAGCTTTGGGATGTGCTGGAACGGGAGATTCGCATTATGGATCTGCAGCAACTGTGTGATGCTCTCATGTCAATATGGACCAAAATGAGGAAAGTTTCCAGCACCTTGTTGAATCTTTGCCATGAAGAATTAAGGCAAAAGGGGGTCCAACCTGGTGTAGCAAGTTGTACTTAAATAAAGTGGCCAGTGAGTGTGTATATATATATATATATATATACACACACTGTACACACACATTTTATTTAACTATTTTAATACATTTACACTCCTAATTTGTGTAAATGCATTTAAAACATTTTTTTTTGTGTGTAAATAAGCAGATTTGCCACTCCAGCAGAGGTACCAGGAATATCTCCACCTATATGCTCTTTCCTCTGAGACTTCAGTAGATTTCAGTAAAATTAGCTTACTTTTGAAGAAAGTTCATTTAAAAAAAATGTACCTCCACAGATATTTACACAGAACATTGAGAACCTTTAACCTACAAGGGTTGATTTGATTTCATGTTGATCTTAAAAACTGTACATAAATATGGACATACTACCATTCAAAAGTTGAGTCAGTAAGATTTTTATTTTTTTAAAGAAAAATTAATCCTTTTTTTATTCAGCAAGGATGCATTAAACTGACCGAAACTAAAGATCTTTAATCTTATTTATTATCTTTAATAAATAAGATAGCTTTAGGTTATTTGAGCCTTGGTGAGCAAAAGAATTCTTTCAAAAACATAAAAACATCTTACTGACCCCAAACTTTTGAACGGTAATCTACCTCCATAAATATTTACACAGACCATTTAACAAACGGTATCAAGAAATCCAATAGGGTTCATTTTAATTTCATGTCGAATGTAAAACGCACATGCAGGCTGTCACGTAACCAACTGTCACTCATTTAGACCTATCGGTTAATAATACATCATCCCACTTATCACACACATTCACACCTCCACACAATGTTCAGCAGGAGAGCGAGAGTGTGTGTGCTGTTATTAAGTAGGTTACGTTCCCTCTGCTCTGGTGGAAGTCGAGCCAGGTGGGAAATTGGGTCCAGAGGAGCAAAGCATCATGGGAAACTTATTCAGGCTCAATCTTTGATCTCTTTCTTATGCTCACGCTACAGATGCCGTATTGAAACAGAGACGGACGGTCTATTCGTGGAGCTCAGACGGCATCTTGAAGTTTCGGGCTCGTGATTTAAAATGCGTTCTGGTTGAGGATCCGTAGGATGGAACTGGAAACGCATCCAGACTGAGATTTGCATAATCTGAGTCTTCGAAATATAAAAAAAAAGCCTTCTAAACTAAAGCAGGATTAGGAAGAGAAGCAACATGAAATCAAAACTGACCCGATTTACTTTATTAATAGACATTCTTGATCACTCTACCGCTGAACGATATCCCATTCTTGTTCAGCGTCAACTTGTTTGTGAACTCTTCAAACAAATTGCATTTAAATTGACATAAAAAAACAATGAAAAATGAATCTGACATACTAGCCCAATCTGAAGTTAAGCAAGAAATAGATATCCATGCACGCAACAGCACAGTCACCCATGCCAAATGGGATCCTGAGTATTAAGCCACACCCCCTACAGGTTATTAATCATCTCACCATTCGACTCTCATTATAATCGTACAGCATACGAGGCACATTTGGACATCAACGCAAGCACAACACAAGCACAGAAAAACACATCACCTGTCACTCACCTTGAGATCTCGGTGCACCACGCCCATTTGATGGCAATGAAGCACCGCCTCCAGGATCTGCTGGATGCAGTGACTGCATGCAAACACCAGGGGGCGCATGTTAGTTTGAGCAATGCCATTCTCTCGTGCACAGGCACAGGCAGGTAATGCAGGGCCATTACAAGGAGCTACTAATAAATGTAACATCTTCTTCGCCAAACATAATAAAATACGTTAAGTGACTCCCTCTTCCAAAAAACGTGCAAATTTTCACAAGTGTGGCAAAGACTTTTTAACCTGGCCCTAGCCAGATGAATTTCGCTCCGCCTAGCTTCACTCACATCCATCTGGAACCTCCTCCATTGAGAGTGATTTCTCCAACCAACTTTATGGTTTAGCCAATCAGGACGCAGGGCGGGAGTTTCATAGATGTGACGTAGTGGAGAAGCGACCGTGAGACTGTTTTGATTCAGACAACAATGGCGGCTCGCATCGAGGAAACAAGCATTAACATTGATGCTGTTAACATTGATTTCATCCGTGTTGTCCAATCCACCTAATATTGTTTCATTAAAAGAACATCAGAGAACGGATCTTAAGGCTTTTGTTGGTGGAAACGATGTTATATAGATCAGTGCCTTCTCCCGACCGGATTCTTCAGCGTCACGGGTTGGCTTCGGTGTGAGTGGTTGAAATAGCACGTCGATAAAGATGACAGACAAGTGGCTTATCCAATCATATGCAAGGATTTTTGATAAGGCCCAGCCTTCTGAAACGCCATTTCAATGGATCGGTTCCAGATGGATGTGAGTGAAGCTAGGCGGAGCGAAATTCATCTGGCAAGGGCCAGGTTAAAGACTTTTATCTACCGGATGAATCTCCATCTCATGTCCAGGTCACATTTCCCCCACAAATCAAAAGAAAATGTTATTTATTTAGAAATGTTGTTAATATTGTTATTTAAATGATTTTTATTGTTGTTATTGTTTATTTAATTTTTCATCATATTTTAACCTGTTAAGATCCTGGACCATTTTGGGGGATTTCCGGCTGGATTTGGCCTACCCAAAATTAAATTCTTCCCATTTCCACTTAGTTTTGTCAAAATGGACAATTTCGGTGTCATTTTACAGAAAACCCTTTGAAGTTTAAAAAAAAACAGTGATAAAAGTGCTAAACATTTAAGTATATGTTGTTTGAGCTGTAATAAACACCAAAATGTATTTTTTTATTTTAAATTCATTTTTGAAAGTGTATAACTCAGAGGAAAACGAATAGTTGAATAAAGTCGTTATTTTAGTTTTATTTTTGCGCACAAAAAGTATTCTCATCGCTTGATAAACTTAAGGTTAAGCCACTGTAGTCACTTGGACTATTTTAACGATGTTTTAACTAACTTTTCTGAGCCGCCAGAATACAATTACCTTTTCATTTTCATTTTTGGGTGAACTAAACCCTTTAATGTTTATTTAATTTATTTGTATTATATTTATCATAAATAAATATTATTTCATTATTATCATTTACTTTTCGTTATATTTTAAATAAATGAAACAAAAACAAATAAATAACATTTAAAATAAAATTCTTAAAACATTTATGACATTTCCATGCCAGTTAAGCACATTTTATCCCACATTTTTGCTGTCTTAATCAGGGGCTCCAGTCATCGGCTAATTAATTCTTTATTTTGATTTCAGAGTAAAACATGACCCAGACACAGAGATTCACTCTTGGATTTATCTTATCTGCAAAGAAAACTGAAGGGTTAGCTTTCAAACACATTAAAAAAAAAATAGCACATAACTAAAAGCAACTTGGGACTTGAGGAAG